GAAAGTAATGTGGTTAAGGGTGGGGTGGGGTCAGGAGAGTGTTAGGGGGGAGAGGGAGTAAGGACACCCTTTTGAAGCTCGCTTAATTATACAGATCTTCCACGAAACTCATTTTGTTGGTTCTCGTTTTCTTTATAATCGAAATTTGAGTAACCTTTATCTCACTTGTAGCATTTATTGACATTTTTGTTTTTATTCATTTTTAATCAAAGAAAGGTTTGTGACTATCGGAGAAGTGTGAGAACACAATTACTGGAATTAAACTAGTCAATATTGGCTGCCAACAAAGCTGTATAATATTTCGAACCTCTCTTAGTAAAATGAGCTTCTCGGAAGTAAGCCGCCAGGAAATGGGTGAATGAGGCTTCTAAGTACATCTTCTAAGGACCAAATAGAAAAATATATTTCTGGGGTAACATAATAATTAAACAACAAGATACAATTGCTGCATTAATAGTACATTCGAGCAAAAAACTGATTATCACCGACGAGGACAGGTGATGTTTGGAGATAAAATTATAAATATTTAAAGTTTTACCCCAGTACCACCACCATTTAAGTCTTAGGAGACGAGCTTTTTTGACCCCGATTTTTGCGGCCGACCCGGGCTGAGATGGATGCGATGTCTCAACAAACAGACGGAGATACATCTTCGGCTCGCGACGGTGAAGCGCCTTACCACTAAACCAAAGACTCCATCGAGATTCGAGATTTTGAGAATTCGGCAACCGAAGTAGCCAAATTCCTATGCAATCAATAGCAGCTTGAAAGACACAAATGCTGCAGAGTATCATCACAAACGAGAGAACACGCCAATAGATTTGCTGTTGCACGAAAACATTTACTCATTTTCATGCTCAACCTTTTGCGTATAGGAAAAAAAAGGTCTGCTCCTTCCAGAAGGCGAAGTGGAGAGTGTTATAGCAAAGTCTCTCGGGACTCCCTGCCCATAAAACACGCGGAAGAGATCGAGATTTGTCTAGGAAATCGGGATAGTTGTCCCCGAGGTGCTCCTATGCCGCCCTGATCCATTCCAATTATTTTTTTAGGACGAAAGATTACGGACCAATAAATTGGAGAAGAATGTGCGAGCAGAGTTCAGTGCGTGACGTCAGCGGTGGACGTATTGGGCAGCGCAGAGGCGGTTTTGCAGCAAGGAAGAGTGCGAGGGGAGAGTGGGATGGGGGTG